TTTATTTTATTTTTTAAATATTCATTTATCTGCCATTATAACTGCCGATACCGATATTATGGAAAATGCCTAATATCGGCCGATATATCGGTCTGGCTCTATTATTTTGTTTATCTTCGTTTCTGATGTCGCAATACATCATACTTTCATGAAATCATACTCTACCTTGTGTGTGGACATCGTTCATTCCAAAGCCGGCGTGTGTGCGACAGTAGGCCACGCTAGGCTAAATTATTTACGACAGCGGTAATGGACAATTCCGCTTCCAGCCTGTAGGGCGGCCGCAGAGGAAAAGTTACTTGGCGTAGCTTTAAATAACCAGCTTAATCTGCATCTTCATGCGGTGCTCGACGTCTTTAGCGGGAGAGAGAAGCAACACACACGGAACTGGGAAGGGCTTGAATGAAGTGTGTTTGGCTCTAGATAGAAATATTTGAAGGTGTGGCGGCGAAAGAGCATTACCGTAAACGCTTGAACCGCTCTGGTGTTGTGACACACTCCTCACTTTAAACTGTTGGAACGGGAAAATGCCGCAATTATGTCCCTTTTGCCTTCACTTGGCCTTAAAGTGTCGTCTATTCGTTTAAAAATGAACTAAAGCATAATATACATATGACATCTATGTTCATCGAACCAATGGAAGCGGTCCCACTGATACGGGTTTCCAGAAATGCCCATGTGAATGAATGTAGCTTGAAACTTATTTATACAAATCGCATTTCATGATGTTTTTTTCCCGATATTCACACTCGTTTAATACGATCGTATTCAGATAGCACTGATTTTAAACGAGGCTTGCAGTGTTGAAAAGAAGGCGTGTTGAGCGGTCTCTGCTATTGGTGGAGTGAAAGATGGGGGCGTGGCTCATTGGTGGAAAGAGGATCTTTGAGGACCAATGGGAAAATCTGTGGAACCTCGCATCATTTCCTTTTAAAGATATTTTGAACACGAAGACGACGGTGGTAAGAGAGATTTTTCTATTGTACTATTACTAGGCATATTTATTTCGACGTATACATATACTCAATATTTTATTAATGCTACATACAGTTAGATCACATAAAGATTGTGTCACAGATGATTTACACCTGGGAGGTAAAAGCCTTCTGGTTACACACAGGAAGTCAATTCGGTTTTTTGTCATGATTTGAGCGTTTAGAAACTGAGAGAGTCGTTGTCAGATTTCATTGGCGATCTCAAATATGACATTTAATCGTTAGCTTGGCGAACAGCTTTGGAGAGTTTGATGTTTTCACATTCAAAGAGAGCCGAGCTGTGCAAGTGCATGAGTGAATTAGCGTTTCAAAGATGGCCGCCGATTTGCTTTAAAGGGACATCTAAATAACATGTTGTCTGTTTTGCAGGTATTGTCACTGGGATTATGTCCAAGTATGGATGTGGACAGTTACTGTCAATTGAAGTGTACAGTGTCTGAGCAGGCACTACATTTGAGTTTGAATTTACTTCGAGACCGCTACAAAAGTAAACTCGAAAAATGAGAATATCGTGCCACAGTTCATGTATTTCAGTTATTCAAATTAAAAAGTTAAAGTAGTATATATAACGATATACATATATGCATGATTATACTTTTCAGAGGGCCGACATTTTAGTATTTAAATCATTGATTTCATGTAATATTCTAATTTTCTGAGATCATTTCATAAGAGGTAAGCCATAATCATCAAAATTATAACTTTTCCACTCTATTCTAATTTTTCGAGTTTCACCTGTACATGAAAGGGTTCATACAAGGTGCTTGAATTTGACCTTTTTCGAAATTAAATTCCTGGAAAACCCTTGAACGCAGCAATGTTTTATGAAAAGGTACTTGAAAAGCACTTGATTTATAAATATAAAGGCATTTCGCATGGCTATGAGTGTGATATTGCTCATAAATATCGTAAAAATAAGTATATGATGCAGCTTTCATTCTTCAGGTCAATCATATATATATAAATATATATATATATATATATATTTATTCATATACACATTCACGTTCTAGTGAAACACTTATGAAGATAAATTGTTTTTCTTTTTGCTACTCATTTCCTGTGATTATCTTTATAAAAATAAATGTTAATAATACTGTTGTTTTATTAATACAGATGGATATTATCTATTTTTGTGTGATGTAGGTCACTTGTAGTGTTGAAGCTAAATAAAGCATGTATCTATCCTACAATCATTCTGTGGCTGTAATGATTTTGTGATCGATGATATACACGACACTCACATTTGATTGGACCTTTTTGTTTCTTGTCAGGCATAATATGCAAATAAATAACAGAATAATCTACAAGAAAAACAAACGTTGTCATGTATGTTGTGTGTGTCTCAATACATTACAAAGGACCTCGTAAGTGTTTACTTCCACACTGGTAATAGAAATGTGTGTCTGTCGTTTCATCGACAGCGAATTAAACCACACTTTGACCTATTGTCTCCATTTATTTATGCAGTCGGTTTGTGATCAATTCATAAGTCTTTCCATCACTAGACTCTCAACACGTTTGCTCATCTGGATAACCATGTGTTTGGATGTGTGTTGTGTTAAGTGACACACTTACCATTCAGAACAATCACCTGACACCTCACGTTGGATAAAGCGTCTACTGAATGATAAATAAGTGTAGCATCAGTCAGTCTCTCGACCCGAGTGGCATTTCCTGCAGTGTTCTGGTGATTTGAAAGAGTTTGATATAAATAAACATTAGTTTGAAGGGTTGTTTCATTGTGAGGAGGACTGTCATCTCCAGGTCCTCCTAAAACAAATGGCCACAGCGTAACGTCTCCCTCTAGTGGCTGATGTACAACTGACGAGTCATGAACATGAGTAAATAGGCACTATCCAACGTTTTGATACAATACAGACTTTCTCAGGCAATATACCATTTATACGAAAAGCTCTTCACTTATATTTACACTTTGTGTGGGTTTCATTTACACTTGGGGCAAACAGCCGGATGTAAGCGATAAGAGAGGCTGTGCTGATCGTGAATAATTCGCCTAACAACGCACTTCAGACGTTACTTATTCACGATATACAGCATTGCCTCGAGTACCGTATTGCTTTTATAAAACGGTTACCACACAATAAAAATATTAAAGTTAAAAAAATGCATTAGTCCAGCTTTCATGAAGTAAAATCTCTAAAAGCCTTCCTTCCGCTAGAAAAAGTAGTCCCTGACCGTGAGCACTGAGCAGCAACAACGTAAGCAAAAAAAGAAAAAAAACAAGGTGTATGCTTAAAACAAGAACAAATATGCCTCGATGAGATTTAAAAACTGGTTTTTGCTTGAACTAAGCCCATTGGCAGATATCTGTTCTTGTTTTTGCATCTTGATTCAGAAATATTTAGGCATTTGATTTGAAAAACGAGACAAATGCAGAGAAGGGGCACCACTTTTTACAGTGTGATTAAAAGGAAAGTTTATTTACATATTCTAGTGCTTGTGAGTAGAGGTGTTGAAGCCATATGCTACTTTTTTTGTTCCATTCAGTTTACCCCATTTTCTTTACTTGGTCTTAAAGGGGTCTTGAAGTCTTAAATTTACCTTCATAGAACATGCAGAACCATATAATCATGGTATGTGCTTAAATAACAGGGTAGCAAAGCCAGCATTGTATCATGTCTAAGAAAAACAAATACCATAGTGCATACCCATGGTTCTACTGTATACTTCCTACTGTAAAATAAACAACTGAATCAATTGTGGTACGTGTTAAAGTGATTATGCAGGACAATTTTAGCTATTGTTCCACAAACAGCATGTGCTTCCTCTCAGAGCCGTTTTCAGGTGTGAACGTGAACGCGCCCGGGCGGGTCACACCCATAGAGCACTGTTTACAAACACCAGGAAGAGATGACGTCACCTCGCCGAGCACATGTTCTGCGCGTATGCTCGCGCATCTCACTGCGCGCGTGCACTTCGTTGTGGAAATGACGTCTGCTGGACGTATAGAGCGCCGTTCTACGTGTAGTTTAAGGAAAATGGGGGTTTTCGCGCTTAAAACGAGGCAAAAAACGCGTTTGTTTTCTTGACCTCCATACTCAAAACACACACACACGCTGACGGTCGCGGAGGATTGTGGGGGAATCGGCGAAGACGAGGAGAACCGTAAAACACGGAGTGGATCTAAGTGAGATTCTGTTCTAGGGTCACTCTGGTTTCAAATATACAGGATGATAAATACTTATAAAGAGTTTTTTCCCCCCCACTCAAGAGATGCACTTTATTTTTAGTTTATAAAGCTATAGTATTATAAGCTTTTGTTGATTGAAGATCAGTGAATGATTATAAAATTTGCATCTCTCATATTTATTAATTGTGAACTATTAGAATATGTTAAATTGGTGAAGAGCTAAAAACCTTGGTTCATTATATTCAACCCCAGTTACAGATTCTAAATTCTATTTTTTTTTTTTTTTTGCAACATCGTTGAATGAAATGTTTTAAATATGTTCAAAATCTGCCCATTACCCTGGTATAAAATAAAATTTTACTTTAAAAGGTACTTATATCAGCAGAATTGATTCACGTGCCGTATTCTCAAAGCATTCATATGCACACACGAATACACACTGGGGAAAAAAAACAAAACATACACATTAAGAAAAATATGAATAAAAATAACCATTTATGTCACTCTCCTAGAATCTTTTTTTATTTAAAATACTCATTTTATTCTTATAAATCTCTATTTTATTTGCATTCGATACTTTCTTATTTAAATATTATTATATATTTTTTATTTATTTGTTATAAAACCATTAAACGTCCTTAACACAAATATCCAGTCCAGTGTTTACAACTCTCCGCGTGCATGCGTGTTGGGGCACAGCGCAACCGACCTTCAATCCGTCAAACCGTCCATGTTTGTTATCTCATTGGCTGCGATTGAATTACCGCATTCCTTAGAGCGCCTCTAATTGGTCGGCGCACTCGTCAATCACAGAACACCCTCCTCCGGCGCGCTTTGATTGGCTAATCCCTCCTTCTCTTTCTCTCTGGTGTATCGCGGCGGTGGGTCGAGTCGCCGCCGCTGCTGATGCTGGTGTCTCCGGTCGGGCACGTTTAACGTTTCATATTTTCCCTTCATATTCATATCGTGCCCCGTTCCGCGTGCGGAAAGATAAAGATGGCAGCGGTGGCTCGTTTGGAGGGTCGCGAGTTTGAGTATGTGATGAAGAAACGCTCGGTGACGGTGGGTCGGAACTCGTCGCAGGGTTCGGTGGACGTGAGCATGGGCCACTCGAGCTTCATCTCCCGCCGGCACCTGGAGATCTTCACCGCGGCGGCCGAGGACACGGGCTCGGGCCCGGGCGGAGGAGAGTTTTATCTGCGCTGTCTGGGGAAAAACGGGGTGTTCGTGGACGGGGTGTTTCTGCGGCGGGGGGCGCCACCCCTGCAGCTGCCGAGAATGTGAGTTATCATCATAACCTTCATCACTCTTCATCGTGCTTATCGCACCACCACCATCATCATCGGCGATGTTATTGTTGTTGTTATGGTGAAACGCCGGGAGCACGTGCTAGTGTGCCTATGCCGCACAAAATTTTCGTTTCGCTTTCAGAGCCTCTCTGAGCTGTGTCTCATTCCCTAGTGAGCTGCCTAACTAGACAGCATTCACGCGCTTCATGTGTTCATGCAGCATTATGGCCTTTGTGTGAAGCAGGGCCCTTTTTAGAGCATCATGCAGAATTTTTGGGCCACCAAAGCAATTCTGCTTGCATATGAATATTTTTGTACGAGGGCATGGCAGACCCCATCTTATTTCACTATAAACGCATGCATTAAGTTTGGAGTGTCATGGACACATGCTGCTACATTTTAAGAGCATCACATGAGTGCATTTTTGCGTGAATCATGTGTATATAGATTTTTCTTTGGGGAACAATGAGAAACAATAGGTGCATGCATTATTTTGGGGCAGCATGGGCACATGCTGCAGCATTTTGAGGCATCATAAGCGTGTACAGCAGCAATTTGGGGCATTATAGGCGTGTGCAACTGCATTTTAGCGTGTGAAGCAGCATTTTAGGGCATCATGAGCATGTGCAACAGCATTTTAGGGTGTGCAACAGCATTTGGGGCATCATAGGCGTGTGAAGCAGCATTTTAGGGCATCATAAGCGTGTGCAATAGCATTTTTGGGGCATTATAGGCGTGTGCAACAGCATTTTAGGGTGTGCAACAGCTTATTGAGGTATCATAAGCGTGTGCAACAGCATTTGGGGGCATCATAGGCATGTGAAGCAGCATTTTAGGGCATCATAAGTGTGTGCAACAGCATTTTTGGGGCATTATAGGCTTGTGAAGCAGCATTTTAGGGCATCATAAGCGTGTGCAACAGCATTTTAGGGTGTGCAACAGCATTTGGGGCATCATAAGTGTGTACAACAGCATTTTTGGGGCATCATAGGCGTGCGAAGCAGCATTTTAGGGTGTGCAACAGCATTTTGAGGCATCATAGGTGTGTGCAAACAGCATTTTAGGGTGTGCAACAGCTTATTGAGGTATCATAAACGTGTGCAACAGCATTTGGGGGCATCATAGGCATGTGCAAAAGCATTTTAGGGTGTGCTACAGCATTTGGGGCATCATAAGTGTGCGAAGCAGCATTGTAGGGCATCATAAGCGTGTGCAATAGCATTTTTGGGGCATTATAGGCGTGTGCAACAGCATTTTAGGGTGTGCAACAGCATTTTGAGGCATCATAGGCGTGTGCAAACAGCATTTTAGGGTGTGCAACAGCTTATTGAGGTATCATAAGCGTGTGCAACAGCATTTGGGGGCATCATAGGCATGTGAAGCAGCATTTTAGGGCATCATAAGCGTGTGCAACAGCATTTTTGGGGCATTATAGGCATGTGAAGCAGCATTTTAGGGCATCATAAGCGTGTGCAACAGCATTTTAGGGTGTGCAACAGCATTTGGGGCATCATAAGTGTGTACAACAGCATTTTTGGGGCATCATAGGCGTGCGAAGCAGCATTTTAGGGTGTGCAACAGCATTTTGAGGCATCATAGGTGTGTGCAAACAGCATTTTAGGGTGTGCAACAGCTTATTGAGGTATCATAAACGTGTGCAACAGCATTTGGGGGCATCATAGGCATGTGCAAAAGCATTTTAGGGTGTGCTACAGCATTTTAGGGCATCCTAAGTGTGTGCAACAGCATTTTGGGGGCATTATAGGTGTGTGCAACAGCATTTTAGGGTGTGCAACAGCATTTTGAGCCATCATAGGTGTGTGCAAACAGCATATTAAGGTATCATAAGCGTGTGCAACAGCATTTGGGGGCATCATAGGCATGTGAAGCAGCATTTTAGGGCATCATAAGCGTGTGCAACAGCATTTTTGGGGCATTATAGGTGTGTGAAGCAGCATTTTAGGGGATCATAAGTGTGTGCAACAGCATTTTTGGGGCATTATAGGCGTGTGAAGCAGCATTTTAGGGCATCATAAGCGTGTGCAATAGCATTTTGGGGGCATTATAGGTGTGTGCAAACAGCATTTTGGGGCATCATAGGCATGTGCAAAAGCATTTTAGGGTGTGCAACAGCATTTGGAGGCATCATAAGCGTGTGCAAAAACATATTTGGGCATCATATGTGTGTGCAACAGCATTTTTGGGGCATCATAGGCATGTGAAACAGCATTTGTGGGGCATCATGATAGGCAATGCTGTCTAGGTAGGCAGCTCAGTAGAATTTCAAACACCACTTCTAAACAAATGCACATGCTTGCAATTATCATCATCAGAAATGTGCACAAAAGAAAAAAATGTGTGTTGTGTGTCATGGAAGAACGAGTGTTGTTTTTGTCTCGGATGGAGTGTAAAGATGTTAACTAGCGGTTTAGATGCTCTTTCTCAAGTGCATTACTTGTTTATTTTTTACTCATCTCAGAAAAGCCGCGTCTGTCAGTTAGGTAGGCTTTGCTGTCAGTTGTTTGCGTTTTTGTATTTATTTGTCTTGAGATGATGTTGGACATCTGGTTGTGTTGACATTATCCTGAAGTCGACCTTTGGATCGTGATCGCGGTGCGTTATCTGTTGTGAACGAGTTGTCTGATTTGTATTAAGTCTCACCCACTGGCCAGGCTCATTTTGCAAGTATATCTTTTTGAACGACATCAAATCACAGCGCTGTAGTGCACACTTATCCCTTTGCTTTTTTTAACACATGACCCACATATCTCAATATAACAACAAATCTGTTGCACCCCACAATGCCAGCCTTTAAAGCTATTTTATGCACTGCCAGTTCGGCTCTAGACGTGCAGTTTCTCAGTATGAGAGCAGTAAGGAACGAGCTGATATAGTTTGACTGATTAGCATTTTCTAAATATGGAGGCATGATTGTTTGAGTTATAAAGAGACTCTCTGATGTCTTTGTGCTGACAGACTTCAGAAAATGTAAATAAGGCTTTTTATAGCCAATATCTTTAAAAGCTAGGATATGAAATGTGTTATTTTTATTTTTTTGTTTGTAGTTTTGATGTTTCTGGATTCCATTGTAATGGTTTAATTACATTTTAAAAATCAAAACGTTTTCAATTGAATTAATAAGACGTTAACATTTAATATTGCCCTATGCAATTTTTGTGTTTTATGGTTTAATATAAGTGTATAATAATGTGGTAGCCTTATCAGATGAATGCAAGAACATTTAATATTTTAAAATGAAGCACAATTCCTTTTATTTTTAATGGCAAATGTTCATGTTATGTACAAAATTGAGTTGTGATAAAAATTAAACATCTTTTAAGGATTAATAAATTAGTGTTATTTAACAAAGTACATTCTACATACATGGCACATTATACAGCATTTCTGCTATAATCAATATATTGCTAGACAATCCTATAACAATACATCACCATATATTTAACTATAAAAACAAAATGCCTTTGAGAAGGTCAAATGCAGGTTGTTTCTCTTTATTGAAGACGTTATAGAAAACCGCACGGTAAATTAAATTAAACATTTTATGCTAATACTTTTTAAAAGCTTAAACTTTTCTTCTTTTGTGTGTAAACTGACCCATTTAACTGCTTATTGACTTGTTTTATATAAACCTGGTACATGTTAAATTTAACCAACCTTTTTTTATTTAAAGCTAGGGCTGATCTATTAATTGCGATTAATCACATCCAAAATAAGTTGGTTTACGTAATACATGTGTGTGTACTGCAATGTAATTATTTTGTATATATAAATAATGCACACATGCATGTATATATTTAAGAAATATGTGCATGTTTATATTGTAATATTTCTATCATAATATTTTATGTAAATAGTTTTTTTTTTTCGTAAATATATACATGCATATGTGTATTTATATACAAAATAATTATATGCAGCACACACACATCTATTAGGCAAACACAAACTTATGTGCCCAAATTACATTTTTGAAACAGTGTTATCCTACACTAAACCTAAACTAATCTTGACAAACTATGTATCATTTGAAAGCTTACAATCTCTAGTTTCCATATTTGGTGATTGATTTTCAAAATAATTTACCAATTTGCAACAAATATATTTTCGTACTCCTAAGGCGTGTTTAGACCTTTATTTTGAAATAGTGATGAACATTAAAAAATTATGAAAGAAAGAACACTCTTTGAAGGAATGGTTCTATTTAGAACCAAAGATGGTTCCATCCCCCGCTTCATATATGGAACTCCAAAATGGTTCTATATAGAACCATTTTTTTGGTAAAAGGTTCTATTGGCCAAGTATGGAACCCCAGGGTTATATATAGAACCCAGAGGAACCCTTTTTTAAGAGTGTATAGAACCTTTTAGGGGTTCCAAATACGTAGCGCTGATAGAAACTTCTAAGAGTGAAGGGTAGAAACCTCAGTTTGTTTCCATACCAACAGTTGTACATATAGCATCAATTCAATTATTTTAGAAAAAAATGAATTTTGAATTTTAAATATAAAGATAAAATGATAGTTTCACCATTTGTGACGTGGCAGGAAGCTATAACGCACATACTTGTTCTTTTTATGTTTCTTAGAGGTTGAATGCGTATCAAAATCTTCCAAACTTTTAATTTTATTTCTGAATATGATGTCTACTTCATAATTTGAAAGAAAACTGTGGAAATAATAGTTCAGATCACTCATAACACATATGGAAATGGAGGCGCACTTATATGGGCAGTAATGGAGTCTGGTTGTGCCCTAGTGGAAGCGTTCGGTACTGCGACCAAACACACTTTCACTGAAAGCTCATTTTTTAAAATATCAACCTAAAATTTAAAACGCAGCTTGTTCAGATTAATTTTTTTTTACATTGTGCTGCCTTTTTCATAAACTCAAACTTCTATAACATTGTTTTACTTTCTTAAATTAATTTCACTTCTACAAAAATCTGCCAAATGTCGTCTTTAAAACGAGACAA